TCCTATCATGACTGAAATGACTTCAGAATAGACTACACGATAATCAGTATCAAAACCTGAACAATGTCGATTAGCAGAACAGTATCAATCTTTCGCATATGTCGACATGTTGCGTGATCTTTGGCGACTACTGTACATAAAAAATCACGGAAAAGGCTAGAAGCTGGAAAAGGCTGGTGTATTACGTAATCCCGATTTTTGATTTATGTTTTCCTTTTCACCAGGGCTGACCCAACTGGAAACGAAGAACCCAACCCGGTCACGTCAAACCCCCAGGACCTAGCGGTGCACCAGCTTCTGCGACGGATACTGCTCTTAATCCAGCTGGTGCGGTTCCTCGCTTTCACCTTCTGTGCCCTAGCAACCGCCGGTTTTGCCATCGGGGTCATCCTTATGGCTCTGGATTTTGACGGTACGGACGAAGAATTCTACGAGGAGAACGGCGAAGTGAAGACAAGGATGTGCGTTCTTGAATCTTGTTTTGGTTTCTTAAAACAGCTGAACTGTCTAAACCTAAATAGCCATTTCTAATTTTGGATGTCAAGATATGCGAACGAACGTTTTCGATTAATTCATCATCAGGCATGTACAATTATATGAGGGGGGTAGAGTTAGCAAGAGTTTAAGCAACCAATCACGCATAAGACATTCGTCGTGGCGCTACGGCTCCCATGGCCGAAAACAAACTCAGCATCCGTGCGCACACTTCCTACCATGCCCTGAGACGATGAGCAGACATTGACAGCTGATGTCCAGGCACCGTGAAGCGATGACGAGATGACCGGTTGACATGAACTAATTGTAGATCACGTCCCTCACCCCCCCTGCCCTTTGATCTCCTAACGATTCTCCCCTCTCCCCCTTACTTACCGCTGATTAGTTGCTTAAACTTTTGTTAACTCTATCCCCTTTATATTATTTCTAAGTTTGAAATATATAGCTAAAATGGCTGGCAATAAAAGTGTTGTCGTCCTTATATCCTGATCGGGCAATGTTAATGGTCTATTCTTTGAGCATCAGAGCTACGGTTTAGTGAATCTAAATAAATTCGTATTTTTTAAAATATATTTAGCTTACTTTTAGCAGCAGCCTGTTCTCTTTTTTATTTGTTTTACAAAGTAAAGCGTACATTTAAATTCTGTTGCCCCATCTAGTCCCTTTCAGTTGGGACTGATGGGGCTGGTGCTAGCAGGAGTGACACTTATCGTGAGTTTTTGGTTGCTATATAGTGGTTTTGTGTGAAACCTGTATCCACTCTTTTCCCTAGTTCTAACAATTTTTAACATGACGTACTGCTCCCTGTTATGCCCCACCCTTTAAAACCCCTGTTATCAGCGATTTCGTAGCACAGAATTCTGGGGTTTTGGTTTTTGCGGTGTTACTTATAACAAATTGCTGCCGAAGAACTTTATTCAACACAGTTAGTTAGACATCACACATAGAACTCAAAAGTAAAGTCCCAGCAGTTGGAAAAAAAACGGTTCTCGAAAAACAGCCGCCTTATTTTATGAAATTATTTAACATAATCGCAGCACAGGCACTAGCTGAAAGCCCAGACAGATGTTTCGCTGATATTAAGCCACCACTTGTCACAGCTGTGAGTAGTCCGAATCATCCAGCATTCCCTCTGTGCTTTTTGTTCAATACACCAGTTTTGAGCTTAAAGCTTTCTAATTCCCTTAATTAAATCTGTGGTAGCCTAATATCGAAGAAATCTACTATGCTATTATGTATGACAGAACCAAGCATTTTATTTATATGCGTTATGCTATGGGAGAGCCCTATTATACGTAGGACAAGTCTACAATATATCCCCTTAAGAACCGGAAAATATTGTTTGAAGTTGATGCAAAGAAGATGTAGCCAAGTCAAGTTTATTAAGGGAAATATAGGCAAACAACTTTGTATCACATTGTTTTTTTTAGAAAAAAGGGAACGATTTTAGTTTTAAAAATTATAACATGCCAACGTTTGAAGTTTGTTTTGTCAAAATCGCAGTAAAGATATTTTGACCGTATTTTGTTTTCCCACATCAATGATCAGGGACGGTAACCAAAACAGCACACATGTATATCATCGCGAAGATGAGAGTAAAAACAATCTTATCTAATCTACAGCATGTAGAAATATAGAGTCTATGCGCCGTCTAGAAACGGAACAGACAGAAGATTAACAAGTTTCACGAAATCTGAAGTACTAAATTATGTTATGAACTGATGTACTTCACTCCGTTGAAGATTCACCCAGCTGACATTTTGAACTACCTATTGCTTCAGTTTGATATGTGGCATGCAATATTCCGCTAACGGTGAGCGTTAATCAACAAATGTCCATATTCCCAAACTTAACCTCCAGGAAAAGCTCATGGTCCAATTGTTAAACCGTTGGCCTTCGGATAAACAGGTCACGAGTTCGACTCTTGGATGATGCCCTATTTGAGGTTGAATATGACTGACTGATATCCCTAATGAAGCAGAAATGGCCATTTTTGTCTCCCTTGAATATAATGTGAATATTTAGTCGGTTCTCTGCTTTGCTTAACAGAGCGGATTACCAAAAAGCCCAAACACCACTGTACATTCGAAAGCTATATGACATCAACGATAAAAATAGAATAAGATAAGTAGCCTGATGACCGGCAGTTGGCAAACCGAGATCAACCTAAACACAAGCAAGAACAAATAGAACCAAATAAAACTATTAAAAAAACACAAGTAGAACAAAATAAGAAGAAATATCAGAAAATAATTAACGAAAACATTACACACAAGTAATTATTAAGCGTAGAAGCGGGTAAAAATGCCTTCCTGCGTGAGTTATAAGATAT